CCGGATGAGTTACAGCCCTTTACATTCATGACTTGCAGTCACACCTTTAGAATCTCGGTTTCAAACTGAGTACGCGTTTTCTGTCTCATGAGGATGAGGCTTTGGGGAATGACACACACATGGCATATGTTCGTAGTTACAGTAGAAAATAGCTTCGTATTAAAAATGTGTTTACTTCTTGGAAATTGGATTTTCTGAACAGATAGGACCTATGTTAAATAGAATTTTAAATGAGTACTTCACAATTCAATGTCAAGGAATAAAAGGCTACTACAAATTGCATATGCCTATTAAAAATTCTTTTGTGATGTTTTCAGTCTGTGCCTTTCAATAAAATCTCAGGCATATTTTTTGATGACACTGGGAACCAAGTACTATCTTGTGATAACATAACAGCAATCTGAGACCTTAACACAATTTTTTAAAGTTTATATGGAATAAACATTAGATGCTTTGAACTATATTTTGCTACTTAGGCATATTATGATGATGATGATGATGATGATGCCTTTTGTGTGTCTTATTTATATTCCTTCTTTTCCCCTTAAGTGTAGAGTCAACACTGTGTGACTCTGTGTACTACGATAAGGAAGACAGTCTAAGTGTATAGTTAAGAAGTACGTGGGGGTTTTCTCCTATGAATATGTGTGGTTTCTTCCTGGAAATACATATAAGTCTTTCCAGAATGTCTAGAAAATCCTATGGGACATAATGGCAGAAGAAAAATAAAAAGTTTTTCCTTAAGTATATAAGAAGGAATTGTACAAACTTATACCAATGGAGATGCATGTTTCCTTTTTTTTAAAATTCCCCCCCCCCTATTAAAAGGGAATACATCTAAAATAGTTTTCAAGCAAGGACACAACATAGTTCAAGAAAATGTTTCCTGACAGATAGGTCAGCTCTTGGAAGGCAGGTGACATTTTTAAATCCTGCTTGTCTGTTAAAAAAATCTGTTCTGAAATCTTACTATTGTAAGAACTAGATAGTTATCTACTCCCTTGAAGGTGATAGAGTTTATTCCTATAATGAGCATGATTTGCACATTTTGCATTAATGTATTTAGCACTTTTATTCCATTTCATTTCTGTGGGACTGTAAAAAGCAAAGACAAAATTCTGGGAAAGTCTGATGATCAGCTTGGTTAATCATTTAAAGATCCCGGTTTTAGTTATCTTAGGTTAGATCCACAAAAAGAGCAATTTCATTTCTGAACTGGTGTTACAAGCGTCTACCTCAAAATCTTCGATATTCAAAAGCCTTGCTCGACTCCTGCTTCAACTTGGAGACTACCTCGTCCTTTAGGTTCAAACTCCTTACAGAGCTGAAATTCTGCTTCTTCCTAACCTGAAACATACTGATAATGAAGTATTGGGGGTTTTTTTCTGGTCACTTAGGACCACCATTCATCTGACATGTGGGATTAAATGAGGGAATCAGCTGGAGCAGACAGGAGCGCGTGTCCCCGTGGTGCTTAGCAGAGGGCATGGTTGGCCAGCCTGCAGGCTGGGGATCTGCAGGGCAGCGAGGAAGATTCCCGTTTGTGTCCTGTCAACCTTTCTGTGGTCTTGAAAATTGTGGTCCTGAGTTCTGATCCTTTGAGAGAGAGGAAAAATAAAAAAAGACTTTGTCTCCCATATGTTGTTGACTGTTTTAATTTTGAGTCATATTGAATGAAACCAGTGGGAGCTGTCTGCTTCGTGCTACCTGTCCACCTCTGTGGGAGAATTTACCTCTTGGTGTGTCAGATAGCCAGGGAAGCCACACTTGTAGCTTTACAGAAGCCAGATTGACTCTCGACCAATAAGAATTCTAAAATCCATAAAGCAACTCACCGTTTCTTCCATCCATCTAAAAGACTAACTTCTGGTTTTGACCATGTTAATCAACTAATTAATTTTTGACCGTGTCTAGCAATTCATTTCTCTACTCCTGGCTCTCACTCCAAGAATTCCTTCCTCCCTTACAAGTACCTTTCCTCCTTCTGAATTTAGCATTGCCTGACTGAATGAACAGAAAATAACTTAAATGCATTTGAACTTTTGTTGTTTCCATTGGGTTATGGAGAATTTTCGCAGGATTTTAGAAGTTAAAATCATGAATTGTTGTTCAGTACAGAAGCTTGTCAAATTTAGGGACACTTTCCCAGAGCTTGATCTAAGTTCAGTCTGTTTTCTCCAGATTTTCTTTCATTCTTACAAACAATTTTTTCAGCTGTAATATGAAGAGTGAATTATATTCTTTGCTTGTGCATAATCTATGAGACAGGTAAACACAATTCCTTTCATCTTAATGATAACATCTTGTTTTATTTACATGCTACGTTAGACTATTTTTTCTGGTTATATGAACAAACTAGGAATGGTATTGCGATATTAACACGGAGATCTGTTCTGACAACACATACATTAATTCCATTACTCGTGTCAATGAATGTTTTTATTTTTAACTTGTTTTTACTGAATCAAGAAGTTTGGGGGGTTTTTCCTGAAGGGACGCAGCAATGTTACTCTCCGGGCCATTCCAGGTACAGTGTGTTAGCGCTGGGTTCAAGTGCACCGACTAGCTGTCATTTGGTTTCTCCGTCTCATCTCGGAGGCAGTGACCAGGCCGATTGGTTCGTTGGCATAAAGCAATGACTTTTCTCCAAACTGGTAGCTTTCTGCTGTAGAGAGAGGATATTCTACTCAGCTGCTACTACTATGAAGTTTACATATGTCCAGAGCCATAATGATAATGAAGGACAAAGCACAGCTTGTGTCTTTCAAATGGCTGATTTTTTTAGGGTATGCTGATATAGCTCAAACTAAAAACTTGTATTTAACTATTACATAATATTAATTCTTGATTTTGTAGAAAATATCACGATATAAATGATTGGTAATCCATATGCAGAAAACAAAGATTTTCAGTGAGACGGCAGAATAAAGTAAATAAAGGTCACCCCAGTGGAACTGGCCAACGCTGGTGAAGAGCTGAGCTGCCCACCCCATCGGTCACTCTGCACCTTACTGTTGTCAGTTAACATGGACCAAGGGATCACCGTAGCTTTTGTACGAGCTAGACTACGCTTCAACCATCTAAAAAGGAAATAAAATCAGTCTTGGACTGCAGCTAGACCAGGCCATGTTTCTTTGGTGAGAAATAGGAGAGGAAGCGTGCTGTTGAAAAGAATAGGTTACTCACGATATTTAATTCTAAATCGTATCTAATGAAAATGAACAGTGACTTTTTGTCTTATATTTGCCAAAACAAAATTACTTGTACTAGGAAAGCACTTAATCCAAACAAGGCAAAAGTGAATCTACTGATTTGGAAAAGTAATTTAAAATCTAACACAGACCAATTAAGATTATTAAGGTTCAACAGATTAAAGTTCATTAGTCCTTCGCAAAAGTAATGTTCTGCCGAAGGAAGAAATTGGAGGTGTGGTTTGTAAGTTGTATTCAGGACTGGTTTTAAGTAGCTTAAGGTACTGAACTTACAAAAGATTATTTCTTTCTTGGGTGCTATAAAAATTATTTCTTTAGCGAGGTTCTTGTACTGCAGAGAAAGGTTCACATGAGTTATCAGTGTAAGGACATCCCTGCGAGGAAAGCCCCTTCTCCCAGGAGCGTGCTTTGCCTTTCGTTTAGGTTAAGTCTAAATTTAAACTACAGAGAACATGGGTAAAAACTCCATTTATTTTAATTTTCTTCACTTAGTGGATGTTCAGTCTCATCTTTCTTCTTTTGACTGTTGGTAATTTTGTTACTGTTCATATGCAAGAGTAATTACTCAGCTGGTTAATGAATTATGATGCTCATGTTACAGGGAAATCTTTGTAACTCAAAAATAGAAATCAAATTGCTTGATAATTCCCTCTAGTGACAGGTGACGAATATACCAAAATTAAACTTTAGTCATAGGTGGAAGCAACACGGTTGCTAAGTTGCTAAACCCTCGTACCTGGGTAAGATGGAAAAGTAATGTCAATGCCTGCCTAGTTCAGTTCTTCATGAAAAATTAAAAGATTTCTTCTCTCCCTCAGTCACTCGTACTGAGTTCTTTTTCTCTCCTGTCAGTTGGGATCTCTTGGAATTGTATGATTCTAATATGTGTCCTCTGCTGTCCACTGTTATAAACTATCTTTTTTTAGGCCTTATTTTATTAAGGAGGATATGTTGAGAATACTGTCTAGGAAATCTATTTAAATTTTAATTGCATCTTACTTTGAAATAAATAATTAACAGATGTGTGTAAAGCAATTCAGAATTAACATTTCAGAATTAATACATAGAATGTATTTTTTAGTACTCTTTTACTTGTGACAAAAATAGTATACTTACAGTTCTATAAGCATGCCACTATATTTCCCTGTAAGGAGAAAGATGAATTACTATTAGGCTATTATTTTTACTCAGTGTTCCCTAATACACTTTCATTATCACATTTAAACACTGATATATTTAGTTCATCTCTGTTTTTCAAACAAGTGTTCCTTATAAGTGCATTTAGTTGAGAACATTTAGAAATTGTATTGAAAATTATTTCTTAAATCTGTTTCAACTTAATCTGTTTTCTTTAATCTCAATTTAATGCCATTGCGTTGCATTGATTGATATTACTCATTGTTTTAGTCCTTCTTGCCGCTCTTAGTAAGTCTTTCTTATTTCTGGAAGTGCTTGATAGCTCAGGTGAAGTATCAACGCTTGTATTAGATAACAGACGTGGTGCCGTCTTTTTCCATTTGCGCAGTTTGGGTTTGCCAAGGATAGCTTGTTAGTAGAAAAGTTTAAAGATCCAAAATTTCTTTTGATTTGGTTTCTTTCTCTTTTCCTCAGACATCTTTACTTCTCCTTTTTCTCTATTCTGCCATGTTTCATGTCGCAGGCAGTACTTTGAAAAGCAGTTCTATTCCTTAACCTCGTTGCCATTTCACAGCAAGTTTTTCTTCTTGTGACGAAGATGATAAACCTGGTCTTTGCTTGACTGAATGATTCTTAATGTTGGCTTTGCAGGATGTGGTACTGCAACAGGAGGAGCTGAAGATGAAGGTGAGGCTGAAGCTGGCTGGATTGAAGGTGCTGCCATCCTCCTCTCTGTTATCTGTGTTGTTCTTGTCACTGCCTTCAATGACTGGAGCAAGGAGAAGCAGTTTCGTGGGCTTCAAAGTCGTATTGAGCAGGAACAGAAATTCACTGTTGTCCGAGGTGGCCAGGTTATCCAAATCCCAGTGGCAGAGATAGTAGTTGGTGACATTGCACAGGTGAAATATGGTAAGTTCCATCAACTAGGTGTCTACTTTTCTGAACTTTATTTATTCTCCTTTGCCTTTCTAGCAGAATAGACTCACTTCACTGGAAGTAATTTAAAAGACAGAGAATTATGTGGTGTCATTATTGTTGACAGTTAAGATAACAATTTGGTCGTTAGGGCAAAAGGAAAACCTAAGATACTTGCTATAAAAATGCAGTACGTAATTAATTTGGGTTTTGTAATCTTCACTTCTTTTCACTGACAAAGACAAGAACTGTTCGTACAAAGGTAATTCTCTTTCATGGAGGATTACGCTATTTGGAATTTTTGGGTTCTGACCAGTTAGGAATAAGAGGAAGTATTTTTAACTGCTCCGTGAAAGGGAATTGTGTCTCTGTGCTCACCCCACTTAGTAGGCTGCTCCAGAGCTATGGATCCTGTAAGTGCCCCCCGATCGGATGCTTCTAGTAGGTGGATGCCTTGTAATTATAGGCCCTAGGGAAAGCCCTGTGCGCCAGTGAACAGAAGACTTTTGCAGGAACTCTGCGTACTCTGTGTTTGACTGAGCTGGCAAATTCCAGCAAAATGCCTGTTCTGTCAACCACCGAGTTTCTCCTGGACTTCGCTAAGGGCTTCCAGAGAGGGGAAGGGGAAAGGGCAGCCCAACTCTTTATTAGCCACTGTTAATTCCTGTGAAGTCTGGTAGAGAAACCTTCACGTCGTGTTAAGAAGAGTACTTCCCTGCCGAATCTCAGTGATTGTTATGTTCATCGTAAGTTAAATGTGACGCATTCTGACTCTGGGATAGCATTAAGCAAAAAATACTTGCAACACAAAGGCCCTTCCCTATAGGATTGCAATAATATGGCTAATACGGACCGTATTCTTTCACTCTTTCACATTTTAATGCAATTGTTGCTAATTGTTATTTTATAACAAAAATCATTATGTAATTATAAAAGCAATCTTACTAAACTACTGTGGTTTTCCATTACCATGTTCTTACTGAAAGGTGATCTTCTACCTGCCGATGGGATATTTATTCAAGGAAATGATCTTAAAATTGATGAAAGCTCTTTAACAGGAGAGTCAGACCAAGTCCGCAAATCTGTTGACAAAGACCCAATGCTACTGTCAGGTAAATCTGCCCGAATTCTTGCTGAGTTGTCTTTTATGCACTGCTTGCTTCAGGTTTGGTTTTCCACACCATCAGGTTTTGGTAACCGAGATACAGCTGATCTTATGAACAGACACTGGCCTTGTCTGTCATTCAAAAGGCATGCCATTGGGTTTTGATTGTGTGCAATTATTTCTAATCATCATACTTATTTTATAAAGCGAGAAAGTAATGAAACATTTTCAGAGGAGAAGGAAATTATCACTTAGGGAAATAACAATTGTTTCAATTCATTGCACGCTAGTTTTAATTTAACCATTAAATTTCAAAGGCTTTTAAAGTCTCTTTAAACACTTTCTTTGTGTGTATACTAGATACAATAGAAAAAGAAACAATGTGCTTAGAAGGAAATGGATCTACTAAAATATTGTGGGCTTGACTTCTGTGGTAAATTCAAGTTATTTGTAATATATGTAATTTGTAATATAATTCTATACAGTAAATCAGTCACATGGAATGTGATTTTTTAATTCTAATAAGGATAGTTCCCAAATAGGTTGGTTGTCAATGGATTCCAGCTGGGATGTGATCACAAAATAACAGCCTGCTGATCTCCTAATGATCATCAGTGTGTTATAACCTCAAACAGTCATTTTCAAATCCATTTGAACTTTTTATTCATGGAAAGGATTCTCTTTGCTCTCTGGTTGTACCAGCAGCCAAGAGTCACCCCAAACAGAATCTTTATGTTGCAATGCAGCAGGTAAGTACACATGCCCCGACCCTGCCTCGCTGAGCTGGTGTTTGCCAAGAGCAACTGATGGGAGATGGTTTTGTCCAGGAGAGACAAGTAAGGATGTGACAATTTTGATTAACAATGCAAATCCTTTCCAAATTTAAAATTGGATAATTAGTACACTGACTGTGAGATTATGAGTGTTTATTATGTAACTTATGGAATTGTGGTCTGGTAAAAAACCATCAGATTTCAGTCAAAAGGTGGCTGTGTTAACTTCAGATGAAGAAATTGCTAATGTCGTTTGTGGACTTGCCATTGCCACAGATTTCATGTTACAAAAGACCATGTTAATTAATTTTAACTTTAGGAAGTTTCAAGCATCTTTCTGCCTGAAACCATGCATTAATTTTTTTTTTTTTTTCCCAAATGACACACAAAATTCCTATTGCTTTTGAGAATAAAACAGCAAAACAAATTTCCTTTGCTCTTTTAGGAAAAAAAATCCTTTGATGTCTTTCAAAATATTGTAGTATTAAACGTGTTTGCTGCAGTGTCCCTGCCAAGTGTATGCCTTTTGCTGTTCATGCTGTAAAACCCCAAGTTATATATGTCTGAAAAATACGTTTGCATGCGTTCAGTAGAGGCTAATAAAGATTAGTGGAGTAGCTGCAAACTCCGAAGGCTGCGTTTGTGCAGAGTAAATACAACGAAGAGCTCAGCATGTGCAGGCAACACACGTACAGACATGCCGAGCAGTGGGGACAGCGTGGGTTTTGAATTCTTGGTGTCCCTCTGGCTCTTTGATGCACTGTACGGCAACGCAAGGAAGTGTTCTGAATTTCATGAGTAGTGTATGAAACCACTGACTGTTATTTTGCAGAATTTACAATAATTTGATTTGTCTTAGTAGTGCAGATATTTAGGCTTAACTTGATTGTAGATCAAGAATTCTCTTGGAGATGCTTTCCAGTGTGTACACAGGGAGGCCTGCAGTGATATTTTGAGGAAGGGTAGTTCACTGTTGCTGTTCCTAACAAAATTTGTAACGCAATGTTGTCCATGAAGTATTTGTGCATTTTTTTTCCATTTCTTTTTTCTTAGCTGATAGTTGTACTGTTTTGTAACTGACATAAAATTTTAATTTTAAAGACATAGTTTTAATAACGATATTTTCTTACAGAAACTTCTATCGTGAAATATCATAGACTTCTATCAATTAAATACCGTGTTGTTGAATTCTCGAGGTTTTCTGATTATGCAGTTTCCATTGATTAATCTCACATATTCCTAAATTGAATTAGAACTTTTTGAATACCCGCAGATTTCAGTGGTGGCTGTGAAAAGACCATGAAGGTATTGCCGAGAAAGGGAAAGCAGTCAAGTTAGGAGAAAAGATGGTTTTCTCTTGCTTCAAAAAAACCCTCAATTTTCTTTGCTGTAAGGAGAGAAATTTGTCTTTATGTTTTTATTGCAGAGTAAAAGAAAGTTTATACTCTTTATTTTTCTATATTACTAATACTATATTACATATTACTCTGTGATCTCTATTACGATTACAAAGAAGGTAAAGAATTAATGTGCTATTTCAACAAGTACTGCACACACCTTTGTTCAATACTTACACTAATGAATTTTTACTCATGCTGTGTTAGAAAATCCCCAAACTCTACAGGCTCAGGAATAGAGTTGATGATTTGAGATTCTATCATGCAAAAACCTACCTTTTTCCATAGATACAATGCAAGGTTTAATCCCAATGGTGTGGGAGCTGATGTGCCCACTGGAAATTGTTAGTAGTCCAAAACCCCAAAACTTGGAAACCACCATGTCTTTTGGGGGCGGGGGAGAGGGGGAGGATGCGACCTGGTTTAAGAGCTGAGTTCCTGTTGGATGTTAGCTTAGACTTCTATTTTTATGAAACTTGTTTAAAGAAAAAAAAGAAAACCTCAAACCAACCCTCCCCAAAACCATCAAACACACCTTACATTTTCCTCTTACGTTTGCACCTGAAGACATCAGTAAGTTATCTCCGGGTAGGCTTTTGGAATTTAGACAAATACTGTCAGGTTGTTGCTTGTCACTGTTCTCCCTTAATCATAGAATCCCAGACTGGTTTGGGTTGGAAGGGACCTCACAGATCATCTAGTTCCAACGCCCCTGCTGCGGGCAGGGACACCCTCCACTAGAACTAGAATCATCTGTTGGAAATGAAAACAGCTCAAGTTTGAGAGGAGTAACTCAAAAAGGCAACATTTGAATTGCAGCCACAGTTTGTTTAGTGAGGCTAAATTTGGTGAAAGGTAAACACCCTGAATCAGGAAGTATTATTTTCACCATTGGCACCTGAAACAACATCTCTAATATTCAATCAGTTTCAATGACATAATTAAACTAAATGAGTTTCTGTGTTTAATGTCCTGTTTAATCATCCAGATAGTCATTTACTGTAGTTGAGAAGCAACTCCAAGAGTACAAGTGGTGACTAAACCAGATGGTTCATTTCCATCTGTATACAGCACATCTGGTACCACCTAGGAGGGCAGAAATGGAAATACAGACGCTGATATACCTGAAACCGAAAGAAGCAGCTTCTCTTCCATAGTTCCACTCTGCTTCTGTCTAAAACATTTTCCTTCTTTTAGTTCATTAACAGAGATTTGCTTGCATAGTGTGGCGTAAGCCATTGCAGCAAAAGCCACCAGCTTAAACGAGACTGTGGTAACGGTCCGTTTCTCTGCGATGAGCGTGGGCCTGTATCGACCACCAGCAGACAACAGCTTGAGTAACCACACTCACTGCTACTCAGCGGTCTTGATTGAAGCTGATGCGCCCTTTCAGTTTTGTATAGTTCAAAGTTCACAGAAATCCCTGATTCCTAAATACAGAAGTTTTGAATATGAGTCTGGCCTCAGTATTGCACACAGTGAGTATTTTGGGGTACCACATATTGTAATAGTTACCACTGTAAAACCCACCTTATGAGGCTTCCTGTTTAAAGCTTTTCCCCCAGGTATTGAGATTAATTTGATTAAGGTATGAAAGAGTTACAGAGGAGCTTACCTGGTGTAGTTCTCACTGAACTGAGACTGACAGTACATGACTTTATCCTAACCTAACTTTTACAAATGTGTATTTCTATCAATGCACAACAAGGATTTGAAACAAAGAAAAGGGAGCATATTCAAGAACAAAAGAAATCTCGTGGTCATGGTGCTTTGTTAGGTTTTGGAAATAAAAAGCAAGCTTGATTAAGGAATCGGGTCAGTTATTGCCTGGAGAAAAATAGTTCTGATTCTGTCTTAATTCCCTGCCAGAAAATATTCCAGGCTTGGCTTATAGGACAGCAGAAAATTTCAGAATCAAGCAGCAAATTATTTGGATATGTTGAAATTACTTGTAGGTGAGTTTTTTCTGGAAAACACTTTTTTTTTTTTTTTTTTTCCTCATAGAGAATATTCTGATGGCCAGTTCACTTAATAAAGTGAACTTCATTTCCTTAATCATTCCTTATTATTAACTTCATATTAAATGATTAATATTAAATATTCCTTATTATTAACTTCGGTTACCTCTTAATAATTGCCGTGACTAAACTAGTTGTTTAGATATGCAGATAGAGGATTTTTGTTCACCACAAGTTTGCTGGAAGTAGCAAAACAGTATAAATCCCCCAAACTGGCATGCTCTGCTTTTCTTTTCGTGTTTTTCAGCCCTATTTCCAATCTATTTCACCAGTACTATTATTAGATTTGAGGGATTCTGAGCAGTCTCATATTTAGTTGCATTTTTGTCTGGAAAGGATCTAATCTGTTTATCTCTCTTCTTACTAAGCTAGACTGCTTCCTTGTCTATCTTGGAATATTAACCATTGATCAACTTCAAATTAAATAGCATGTGAAAAAATGTGTTTTACTAATACTGAAAAATTAGTCTTGAGAGAAAGAAGTCAGTAGAATTGTTCAACATGAAGCTGAAATACATGCTTAGTGTACAGATAAGTGAAAAACATGCATTCATTCCAGAATTCCATTTCTATAACAATAGCTGATGAAAGTCATAGAGCCCATTTCTTTCTTCAAGCTAATATAATTATAATACTGTTTAAATGGTGAAATTGCCAGCGTTAGGTGGAAGGAGGTTCCGCTTAGATGCTGAAGAATTTTCCCAGTGGTACTAGAGGAACGTAATCTGATGATAAATTAGTACCTGCTCTAAAACGTGCTTTTGTATGCACCTTAACAGTTTGGAATTATGTTTTACAAGACTACTGTTAAGAAAATGTTCAGAAAGGCATTTCAAGCTAAGACATTTTTTGCCCTTTCCAGGTGCACAGAGGTGAGGGTGAAATCTGCTGGGTGCATGTTTTCCTAATAAAGCTGGCTTTGAAACATAGGTATACATGCCATTTTTTGGGAGGATATTTCAACCCACCTTTGTAGTCCAATGCAGAAGAAGATTCCTGAAAAACAGAACACAGGAATACTAAAAGCAAGTTCTTAATTAAAATATATTTTAAATTGTGTTACATCTTAAAGGAAGTTCCTCAAAAATTCTGAGTTAAGTTTCAGACATTTTCTGTTTTGTCTGAACCAGTACAATAGCCAAGGCTATTCTGGTTTTTAAAGATCTTTTCTGTTCCTTGAGGCTTGAATGTAACTTGGTGTTTGTTGTTAGGCTGGCAGTCCTAATTTGTACGTTTGTGGTGTTTTGCTCTGTCATGTGAAAGCAAGCCACTGACTTTTCACGGAATCACGTTTTGTCTCAGAAAGCCATAGGAACAGTTCTCAGTGCACCCAGGAGGTTTGCTGCTTTTTTTTTTTTTTTTTTTTAATTAAAAGTATATCTGACCATTAGTGCATTTTTGGTTTTATTTGGCTTATTTCTGCTGAAATTTTCTTAGTGTTCTGATGAGATATTTATGCTCTCAAATTAGGCTCAGTGTTGACAGATGTTCTCTCTGTTCTCTGTTTCTGTTTTCCTTTCAAGAACATGAGAGATTTTGATTATTTAGAGACAGATATTTTGATTATAAATAGATGTATTGCTTACTATGTTCTAGGACAGCAACTGGATGAGCAGTAATAAGAAAATGGGATTTCTTAAAAAATGAGTTGTAAGTGTGTGTGTATATATATATAAATATTTATCTATTTAAGGAAACAGGTCCATATGTCTTTTCTTTTTTCAGCTTTTGAGATAACTCAATGCAATGAATATATGTAGATGAGGATGAACCCAATAAAACGCTTTTTAAAAAAGGGAGGGGAGAAGTTTAGTAGGTTTAGTAGATCTGAATGCCCAATAAGATTTTCCATGAGAAATTAATTACATCCCCCATTCGCTCAATGCGACAGTCTCGTAATTCAGTTGGTTAAAAGCCATTTTGCAGGAGGCTGCAGAAAGCTTGCTTGAAGATTTCCTTTATTTTTTACTATGGCTTCAGGCACACCCTGCTGTGGTACTACAGGCATCAGTGGCCGACTTCACTTTGATACTAAATTTTGAGTGGTAATTAATGATGGGAGTGGGTAAGCGGTAGGGGCAAGATAGTTGAGAATAAGCATATCAGAATTTTTACCTCATTAGCCACAGAACTGTTTCGGACAAGTCAGTTAATGACTCTACCCAATTCGTGCTGTTACATAGAATCATAGAATTCTCTGATATAAATTTTTTCCAAAATGTAAATCAGAACACTTTTGATCATTTCTAGGAATTTCTATTTGTTTGTGTTTCCACAACTCATAGCAAAAGGTTTCTAAGAGGCTATGATCTTAGATGCACCTAACATTTGTTTCTATATAGGAGTAAGAGCTGTACATAAACAATTTCTATACAATAAAGCATGAAATATTTTTCAAGAGGAATTTACTAATAGAGTGATGTAATTACCTAGTTAAATGATCCTTCTCGGAAAAACTTAATGTACATTTTTGACTTGGTTTCCACACTGAATTTGTTTTTGAGCGTGCGTCAGATTCTTCTTGCTATTTGGGAATGTCCTGATTTAATTAAACATTGCCTTCAAGATTTTTCTCTGTATTGATTTTTCAATCCTGAAGAAAATATTTTTAATTCCTTCAAAAATATTTTTTTCTGTGCCTGTAAATCAACCATAACTGAGAAAGATGAGAGAAATTGCACACATATTTTCACTTTATTTATGTAACAGTATTCCAGGTACAGTCAGAGTAATCTTGACTAGAATCACAGAGGAATGTTTGCAGAATGCTGAAAAAATATTTTCAAAGTTACAAGAATTAGCTGTGTGAAGCTAATCTGTTATCTTCCAAGATTATGTAAACTTGGTTAGTGCCAATGTTTCTTTTAAAAAGGGAGCCTGATGTGTGTGGTAATGGATGTGCAGCCTAAGGTTTGCAATTAAGCATCCATTCTTGGTTGAGAATAATATACAACAAGAGGGGTTATTTTCGGTATGTAATTATATTGGCCTCAATATAGATTTTTAAATTGTAACAAATCTCTCTCAGTACTACAGTAAAAGTCTTGCATAAAATATTCGATGGTTGTTTTTTGGGGTTTTTTTAGCTGAATGTAACTTATATTGCATATTTTCAGGTACTCACGTCATGGAAGGCTCTGGACGAATGCTGGTAACCGCTGTGGGTGTGAATTCTCAGACAGGCATCATCTTTACTCTGCTAGGCGCTGGGGGAGAAGAGGAGGAAAAGAAAGATAAGAAAGGTAAATTTCACAACACATGAGGATGCTCCGAAGAAAGCTCTTGGGCTTTGTGTAGCCAGAGCTCTCCTCCATTCTTGACAAATAAATACAATTTTAAAAACTTCTCTTTTTGTATACACTTTTGTCATTACATGTCACACAGAAAAACAGCACGAGCTGTTAACCAATAAATACATTGGATAACAAGATGTTTTTCCAGTGTGAAACTGCAGACTCTCAGTACATAATTGAGCACAAGGGGACCCATGGGCATGCTCCCATTGCCATGTCTTCTGTACATAAATCCATAGTCACCTAAAATTTGCTCAGGTTTTGCTCTTGTGCATTTACATCTAGGTAATATTTTTTTCAGAAAAAACCCGCAACCTGGCTGTGAAATAGTGTCTGTCTTTGAGCTTCAGAAACGAAGATAAGCTGTGACTTCTTGCTAGGCTAGTTGTTTAATGTCAGTGACTGACTTTAGAGGCATTTTAATTTTTTAAGGTGTAAAGGTCAAACTAACAACAGTAAAAGTCAAGAAAGTAGCAGTAAATGTTAACAAAGGGTTTAACTTTGATGTCCTGTATCAGTTAATGAAATCAAGAAGTCTCTTTAGACTTTTCACCTTATTATAGTGTGATGTCATAAGTAATTGCTAATTTATGGGTTGCACACTAAGCAGAAACATGATTTAATGTATATGAACAAAAACTGGAAAGGACACAGTCTTGTAAATTGTTCAAGTTTATTTATCAAGAATGCATTCAGACATAATTAAGGGCCAATTAATGTTGGGGTTTTGTTAGACATTTCCACTCTTTTTAGTGGTTTTCACTGTTAATGAGAGGAATAATTATAGCTTTACTGAACATTAGTTCAGTAACCTGTCTCAGTTTACTTAGTAAACTTTACTAAGCTTTACTTAGTACCTGTCAGGCAGCGTGAATCTACCCTTTTTCCATTTCCATCCTTATATTTTGAAGCTGCAGTTAGGAAGCCCAAATGTAAATGGTTTTCATGATGTACAATTTCCGTTTCTGAATACGTTCAACAAGCGATTGCACTTGACTCCGTGTTTCTCTGAGGAAATCCCTTTTTACTTGATGAAAGACTTTATGAAATGTTTGCCATTCCATTTCTACATGGGAAGGCACAGTACCTGCTAGGCATGGTAAGTTCTAGGAACATTAAAAGGAGAACGACCGAAACCTCCCGAAGTAAAACGCTTTCAGGTCAGACTAGTTTTAACAGTATCAGAGTCTAATCTTGCTGCCATTAAGAGGAAGACTCCTCAGACCTTTCACGATCTGGCAGCATCTGTTTTGGCAGTGTCTAAGGATATCGGAGGTGTGAAGGAGCGACTTCAGTACCTCTTTTTTAAGAGAGCTGGCTGCCCTGAGGTTTTTTTGTTTAGCTGGGTCGGCCTTCTCTGTGTGTTATTTTGCTCAGGACAGGGGTGATTGTCCCGTGTTTCGTTGTGGATAGCCTCGAAAGGCAGGGCGAGAGAAATCTGATGTGGCAGCCTAACGCGCTGCGCTGTGGTCGTGACTTACTACCCAGTGACAGAGATTCCTACAGAGGTGCCGAAGAACTTTTTATGCAGACGCTAAAGCTAAGTGGGTATAGCTAAAATACCGAGACTACTCCTTCACGTTTTCTAAAGCTGCAAGCAAGCGTAGAGGAGTGCCTGGGCAGAGCTGGTAGCAGATTGAGGCCCAAACTCAAATAATGTACTCTCGTATATAAACCTGCAATGCTCTGAAATCCTGCCAGCCATAAATGTTTTTTCTTTCAGTCTTATGTGGGTGTATGCTTTTACCGTTCATTAACATTTTGTAAAAATCGTCATACAGGTGTGAAACAGGAGGATGGACATCAGCTTCCAGGTAGAGTAAGCATTGTACCACGTCAAACGAAAGGATGAGGCTTTTAGCCAGCGAGCTTTGGTGCAAATCAGGGTTGAACTAATGATTAAAATAATTGTCTTTGAATCAGTCCAGTTAAATTAAAGAATAATTTCAAATCAACAGGATTTTTTGTGGCAAACATTTAGGTGTGCACGCATTGTTGGTGTTGCAAATCGTAATGTTAAGCTTCAATAATCAGTTATTCTCCAGAAGTAAATTACGGCATATTAAATGTTGGAATGCATGATGTGCTGTTAGCAGTTCATGCTGTGCTGGTTAGTATGAGTATCCAAATGGAATAAAAAATAAGCATGAGTAACCAAAACAGTTTAAGTTATTACCATCACAGTAATCAAATTTGCAATTGAAATTCTCATGAATGTAGTTACACAGAGTGTGTTTTTAAATCCTGTATGCTGTTTATTTTCTTCTCCCAATTTACCATTTGTAAATAAACCAAGACCATTTTTCTTGAATAATAAACCAGTACAGTGTGAAACAGTCACTGTGGGTCGAGTCCTGAGGGAGTTCAAGAGTCTCGATCAGGATTCATTATAGGATTTCTGTGTTCTATTGTGAACAATTAACCAACAGTAACAAAACAAAAAAATAATTTATTATTTGTTGAGACTAATTTTCTGAACAATACTATAAAAAAGCCATAATAAAATAGTAAAAGCTTCTTCAAATTTTTCACCTTCCTTTTAGGAAAGATTGCCTGACCAGTTTCTCTAATATGTAGATCATTGCTGAAAACAAAAAGAGGATTTTCTTTTCTCGTATTTTTTTAATTTCACCACAAAACAGGCGATTACGTAAAGTCTATTATTTGGATTGAAAATAACTCATTACTCTCCTCAAGACTATATTTGCCAAGATTCTCTATTTCTTCTACATTTCCACATACAATATTGAGAAGCCTAATGTTTCTACTCAGATCAACATGTGTATGAACTAGGTTATGGCAGGACATAGGTTGAGCCCATGTTAGACTGGGATGTGTAAGCAATAATGCGTCCGAATATGCAATGTTACATAAAATACAAAGTATGTATATACTATGTAGTATGTTGTATATACTGAGGAGAATAATGAGTTATTTTTGTATGTTGTATAAACAAAGTTGTATATACTGTGCAGTATGCTGCAGATTTTAAAACTACCCATGCATTGCATAAATTCATTAACTCAAAGGAAATATTTCAACCACTTTAATATTTGCATAACACTTAAAATAAAAAAGAACTACACATAAAAGGACCAAAGCAATATACATAGTACTGCGTATGGTCAGTTCTCACCAACTCTCTTAACTTTGTTAAATGTCTTTCATATTTATTTATTTTATTGTTATTATTATTCCATGTATGAGTTTTTGCTTTACTTTGTAAAACCTTTGTAATGACATTTTGCTTTTTAAAGTTATGTTAGTTAATTTAAAACAGATTGATTTTGGAGAAAACAAAGCCACACTATTCCATCAATGTTTTTTTGTTTTGTCATGTGCATTTGTTCATGTTGTTGTTACTATTTAATTTTTTTTATCCATTATTACTCGGTAGATTCTTCCCATCCCTCCTCCCACCCTCCTTCAGCTACAGATGGTGCGGCAGGTGCAAATGCCACTGATAATGCAAATGCCAGCTTAGTCAATGGTACGTCGAGAACACCTAGCTTGTTTTATTTGATGGATTTCTCTCCTGACTGTGTAAGATTCCCTCTTCCTTTTATGAACTGCACAGATGCTGTATGTGCATGTGATTACCTTCTGAGAGATACTACTCCATAAACTCTAATGTAGCTTATAAGAGATGCCACAAAGATGCTGTGACTTATGTACTTTATTCACAGAGAATTAAGCATGGGAGAGGAAGAAGTACAACTTATGATCTATTTGCCGTTAATTAAAACTGCAATTTTTTGCAGGAAAACTGTTCAGTAAGGCTAGTTTCAAAACTTTGGAGTTGCCTTTACATGAAGTTTCATTGTAAAGCTTTTAGACGTTTGTCAGGATAGATCTGAAGAACGCCGTGATAAATGGGTCATACCTTCTTTTCTTCTGATGTGGCACTCTCATAAGTATTCATATAGTCGTCACGTAGTTCTGAGAAGTAGTGCTGGGGTCAGGAATCTGGCTCAATTTCAACTAACAGTACATTAGGAATAACTTTTGCAGCCTTAAGCATCTTTTTTTTGGCAGAGACTGACTGAAAAGTTATGTTTGTGGATGCCCTTAGATAGTGATCATCTAATGAGCCTGCCTGTATTTACTAAAAAGAAAGAAAAGTAAATATTACCATAGTCAGTTTTGACTGTCTCTTAGTACAGATTCTTGACCCCACTTCTTAGCATGCAGATATTTCAGTATCTCTTCTAACAGTCTAATTCCAGTAATAAATGGAATGGGTCAATATTAGTCTCGGCATCAGCTGTATTTTTCTGATAATCGGATACATCAGTCTTTATTTGCCATAGAAACCTTTCCCTCTTGTACAGCACCAGTAATACTGGCAAAAGAAATTCTACTTTTCACCATGTTGATGATAGAAAATTTTTTCACACAGGTCAGTAGGTGCATTATGCGTGTGAAAATAGAGTTTCTGACATAGTACGAAACAAGTACTAGGATTTCCTAGTGTAATGTATTATTTAAAGAAATGACATAACAAATCTTTGAGCCTGTTTTGAAATAATATTACTATAATTTAAAAGAAACATATAACCAGATTTAAAACTTTACTCCTGCACATTCTAAGTTTGCTGGAAAACTAGGATTCCCAATCCCTACATCTCATTGCATGACAGGAACTTGTATCACCATGGTTCTAACACCCCAATTTCAGATTCCTTAGAGACCGAGAACCAGGAAATTAATGATGAATATTTAATTCTCCATTCTTTATGCTCTGTAATTCTACTCTGTTGTGCGTAAAACATACACATACAGCAAAGTCTTATGAGGTACCCTTCAGTCCCACTGGAGACTGCCGTGTAACATTTAGCTCAGTCCTGCAGGTTGCTGAGCACTAAGTTAAGCATCTGCTAAAATGCTTTGCTGGATGAGAACCACTGCTCAGCGAGCTGCAGAAAGGAGTCCAAAGTTGTTCTAACCTTTAGCAGGTTTTAGTTGCCTGGTAAATCTCTGTTGTGTTTGGTCTTAATGCCTGAACTTAATAGGGAAATTGAATTCCAAGGGATATTAAATCAGTGTCTTAATAAGTATGAGGTTTTCCATCATCATCTCTCGCATCAGAAACAATAGTTACTGTCCCTGTTTACCTTGGAGTTGAGAGAGACATACTCCATTCTTTTCAGGGCACAAAGCGTAGATGACATTTTTTTTGTGCAGCTGAATATGTTTTTGCTTTGACTCTTCCGAGGTGAGGCGGTTGAGTTAATTCTGCAGATCTTTGATCAGCATGGACAGGAGATGCTTTCCACAAGTCACCTTCTCTGACATTGTGTTCAGAGGAGAACCGAGACTTGCCAAAGTCTCATTTCTGTTTAAACTATACATTTTTCTAGTCAGCAGTGACAGTGAGTTAGAGAATACTTAAAATGTAGATATGTTTGGGAGGGGGGTTAGAGGGGAGAAAGGAAGGAAAAAAATAAGTTCTAAAGCAAGGAGACCCAAGTTCATGTAGATATTTTTTCAATCTGGATGAAATGAATTTTTTTTTCAATAATGTCTAAGAATTCTCCCTGAGATGTGACTGGAAACAAGCATTTTTACCTAAAGTCTAATACCTCTGTATAGAAAATATCTTTAAGAAGAAAAAAAACCACCAAACCTACAAAAAAACTTCAAGTATTTAGCTCAGGAAACATTATTGCTTGTTATTTGAAAATCAGCACATTACCATTTCAAATAAAACGTTGTTATTGTCTTAGCTGTCAATGTACAGTTGACAGAAAAGTATTTTGTTTGCAGTCAGTGAGCTTATAGTGATAAATTCCTATAGGGTTGTGACACAGCCTGTTTGCTGTCTGCTGTAGCGAAGGAACCCTTAGAAATACTGTTGGGTACTAGTAGTTGAGATTAAAATACATGAGTGTTTGATGGTCTCTCTGTTAAAACTATGGACAATATATTCAGTTTTGAAAAGGTTACAAGTTAAAGTCAGACAGTTGGACTAGATTACCATTGCAGGTCCTTTCCAACTGAAATAGTCTATTCTCAAGTTAGGAGCAGATCAGAAAATTTTACAGAAAGGTAGTAATTAATTAAAATTAATCTAATTTTAAAGTAGGCTTTTTAGAAAAGGTATTTTTTTTAAAGGAAATATGGGAAGCAGCAATTGCTGGTTACAGCTGGATTACCCCAAATTTGATTTCCTTAGAGACAGGAGTGCTTATTACTGTGCAGTGGAGCACTACCCGATTCCTAAATCAGGATTTTCATGTTGGGTTGTTGGGGTTTTTTTTAATTTGGTACTGAGAAAATGTGTTACTTAGAATTATATTCTGATATAGAAATACCATACCAGACTCAGAGAAATGTCTCAGCTGAAATACTTTACATCTGCTGTTACTTCTGTCAGTTCTGGCGTATGCACACATACGTTCAATTCCTGTAAAGCAATTTGTAGTTCTAATATATTTTAAAGTATTTTCTGAATTGCAAGTGCAAATTATTTAGTGAGTGCCTAGAAGAATTGTCTAAACTTCCTATTTGAAACAGCGGAATCAGATTTATTCTTTTGTAGTTAACCGGTGTGTTGCTAGCGCATTAGCCCTGATACTACACAGTATGCAAGGATTCCTGCGATTCAGTTCAGATATGTTTGACGTCACTTTTGCCCCTATATATAGATTTGCGACACGTGTCTGTTCTTACTAGCTGCAGAATGTAACTGACTTTGCTTGAAGACTGCTATAACTCATTTCTGTTGCAAGATGAGACAGTTTGGAAAAATCAGTAGTGTATTTTATATTTTTTTGCTCCATCATAGCACATGAGAACGTAACTTGATTAGCTGCTTCGGTTGACTCCAAGCAGTTCCTCCAACGAACAAATAATTTCTAATGCCAGCGATAGGTCTTTGTTATTCTGTCTCATGGACTCTTCGTGAAGGGCTGGAGGAAGGTAAAGGGGAGTCTTGTCTTGGAAAGTTTATTTGAAGAAGTAACTGATTTTTAGGGTAAGAACTTTGACAGTAACGGTGCCATGAGTGTGTTCCAAAAGACAGAAGTTTTAGTAAGGCAAAGGCAACATGCAAAACACTTTATATTCAAATTCAAAACCTTCAAACAATTGCAGAATACAAGTCATATTAGGAAGCTCTATATTCTTTGCTTAAACCTTCTGATTTTTCATCCTTGCTTAGAAAAGTGGTAGTGAACTCAGATTAATTCCTCCAGATTCAGGGTCCAAAAGACAGTCTGAAGACTGTTCCTTTTACTTACTGGTTTCCAAAAAGAAAAGAATAAAAAATTTGTAAAATATAACTAGCTGTGATGACTCCCCCCTCCCATAACCTAAGTGCAGTGGCTGCTGAGATTAAGAATATATTTCTTAAATACCTATGTTTACACTGTTGTTAACAATTGTCCATTTTGGGTACTGGTATTTTTAGGTAGCCAGGATAGATAAATTGTTAGTGTAATTCATTACAACAATTACGATCCCCCTATTAAATAGCAAATATATATCATAAAGTGAAATACTTTGATTTACATAGAAAAACAATGTATTTTTTGTTTGCCAGTTATGAAGCTCTTGGGTTTCGGTTTGTTTCGTTGTCTTTTAAGTTGAATCTTCAATTATACTGCTTTAAAGTTTTGAATTGTATTCTGAAAAAGGAACTGTAGAGCAGGACATAGACCAGACTGTCTGCCCTAAATTAATGTTTTCCAGTTCTTAAGGAAGACTTTATCCTCTAGCCAGAAATCAGAATCTCTAGAGATGTTTTATGTCTTCCACTAACTTTATTAAAAACCATTTAAAGAAAAATAGCCATTAGGCACATATCAAGATCAACTATGCATTGTATGCAAAAAACTTTTAAGGAAATTTCAAAATGAAAATGAACTTGGCTTTGTTCAGGTTTATAGATTCATGTCTCAGGCAAAACATAAGTCTTTGGAAGAGAGATACTGCCTTTCTCAACGTCGTATTGTAGGCGAGGTGGGAACAGAGTTAGAACTGCAGACAAGCAGTTGATGCTGAATGGTTTACTTCAGTGTACTTCAGTAATCCGTCCGAGTACTGAGATGATTCTGTGTAGTGAGACCGTATTTCTGTGCTGTTGAATTTCTCAGTGCCCGTAGCCTGTAAGTGTGAGGTGCAATGTTAGAGTGATAAATTTATGACTGATCTGGCCATTTTTGCTCTTCTCGAGAGGGAAGGTTTTGGTGATCTCCCAAGTGCTGAAAATACAAACGTGCAGGAAATGCATCTCAGCCTTTTGATTTTAGTACTATTTATTCACAGCATAGAGTGAAAAAATTAATACGTATGTCGAAGCATAATTGCTGCTGCTTTATTGTGCATGTCAGTACCAGCTGTATTACTGCAGGAAGTCAGAAGAGCAGGACTTAACAGCTGTCATTTTAATTTATTTTTTTATAAACTCTAACGATACATTTCTTATTAGAATGTGTCAAAAACACCTGTAAAAATTAACTATTAATTTTCCTTAGCATTATTTCTTTTACTGTGCATTATACATAACTACAAAAAGAGAATGTCATCCAATCTGAATGTAATATTTATAAAACTCAGGAAGTCTTTTCCATAGGATAAATTCACGTATCACTGTGAAAGTTTCATAAGGGGTCTCACCGAAAAATTCTGAATACATTTGAAATTATTTACTGGTTGTTCTGAATACCAAAGTTTTGCACGCTCTAATTTGTATTTTGACATTTTTATTTCATACACACTTTGAAATGATATATTTTCAGTTTAAAGAAACAAATCAGGACTTTGGTATGGTAAGACTATTAAACTGGAAATCACAGATGCACTTGCCAAATCTTTCTTTAGGATAAATCTGAATATAGGATGATCACTTGGCACTTGTATTTACAGGAGTAACTTGCTAAATAATACAGCCAAGTGAGGAAGATCTAATTTTATAGTCTTATCTGATTTACAGTTTTGTTTATATTTATTAACACTATTATTTATATTTTGTCTTAGTTTACTAAAATAATGAATTTAATGTAGAATACATTAAGAAATTCATGCTCTATCCTGGTGTGTGCCACAATTATACCTGTGGGGTTTTTAAGTCCCAGCTGTCTGAAATTTCAGTTCAGGAACATTATTCAGTTTCTACTTTCCCCTGGATTCTTTTTGTTAGTTTCACCCTCTTAATTTATGCAATATGCTCAAAAATATGTGCTGATATTTAGTATTTTACATATTACAACATTGAACTTGACTGCAGTTCCTTGAATGTGTGCAGCTAAATTCTCCGTGCTTCTGAGGAAACCTATGATAACAGTGGCTACTGATCATAAATAAGTATTTGTAACATGCTCATTACTTTTGTCTGCCCTTTTTATTTAAATTCCCATTTTCATGTTCTGTCTTTGGCAAAGATTGTTTACTGTCTGTTGTCTGTTGAAATTTTTCATCATATAGGCAAAATGCAGGATGGGAATATGGAGAACAGCCAGAACAAAGGTAATCTTCTTTCATATTAAGGAGGTTGTGGATTTTATTTTTAGCATGTAGTTAAGTTCTGTTAAAAAATAAAACTAAAATTTGTAATTTGTGCCTGTGTGGAAAAGTGGCCCTACTGTTCAAACAGAATGTTAGAAAAACCCCAAACAGCCCAACTCGATGTGTAAAAACCTACCAAAGAGATTGTAACTTACAGAATTTCAGTATCAGAGATTTGGGATAGGAGAAGATAGCATGTCCAATAAGCCATATATAGATGATACTTCCATGTCACAAAGCTCATTTGAATTCATTTTTGTTGTGCAAGTTATGTATGCTATGTATTGTTAGTGGATTTCCAACCCTATTTTTGATATGTCTTGTCATCTTTGGTGTTTAATGGCATTGTACAGACATACTTTCTTTTGCAGGGAGAAGGTAAAGCAATAACAAAAGGAAACTTTAAAGCCAAGAGGTTATTTAGCAATGTAAAAGCATATTATAGAAGGATAAATAACAGGAAGATTAAGAATCTTAGGAATTTCTCATTTAATGTACAATCTCAGGAAGAAAGTGAAATAAATGTTTTGCTTTCTCTGAAGCAAAGTCATGGTTCTCTTTTTATTATATGAGACACAGCTATCATGATTTCTGTGGGTTATGCCAAATAAAGAAATCAATTGTAACTTAGATAATTCTAAAGATTGCAGAGGTGATGGGTAACCTCAGTTGTTGCTGCTACAAAACTATTAAATAAAATGATATTAAATTAATAAGTTTTAAGGTTAGATAGATGAGTAGATTTCCAGGCCAAATAAGCAAGGTTTTGTACAATCCGTTCATGAATGTCAAAGCAAAGCTGTTTCATCTCATTCTATTTAATTTACTTATGTCCGTGTTCAATACAAAACAGACACATACACATATATAAACTGGAATGTCATTGCTTTCAAAAAACATGACTTTAATACTAAAATAAAGTTTCCTTATATTAGCATTAGCATTCTTTCAAGAAAGGATGGTTTAGCCTTTAAATTATGTGTGCTTTTTATGGGAGAAGGATGATGGTATCACCATCTGACCTGATGGTTAAGTTACTTGAACACTGAATGCTAAGGAAACTTTTCCAGTCTGGTATTATCTAGAATAGTGGTTCGCAAAGCGTGGTCCACTGGTCACTGAGGTGCCCATGCAGTCAAGAGAAGTGGCGCATGGATCATCTGTGGAACCACGTTGCCTTTAAAATGTTCTCATTAAAAGTATGATTATAAGGGTGCATTGTAATCCATGAGACACACCAAAATGGAGAGAAATATAGACCGTCTATTTGCCGAAGCGTTTGAGATCTGCTATTCTAGGAAATCCTGCGGTACTCATGTACTGTGACTTGCCAAGTAATTTGCAAGACATTAAGTGATATATATGTGTATAACACAGAATGTCACTGGTGGTTTAAAACATAAATAAACAAAAATCGATGGTTTTCATGGTACTTGACAAATGGCGCAGGACATATCCCCATAGGTATGGGGTGCACATGGGTGTGCTGGTGCGTTTGTGCCCTGCAGAACCCCCGCGGGTCCCATCCGTCTGCCCTGGGAGTGAGTGCAACTCTGTGCGCAGTTACAGGCATCTGTGTGGCAACCAGCCCCTGCCACGGGTGTTGCTGGTTGAACTCAGTAAGTGTCAACACTAAGATAAAAAGAAGGAAGAATGGTTTTGGAGTAACGGTTTTGTTCTGCGTTATTAGCCAAGCAGCAGGATGGGGCTGCTGCCATGGAGATGCAGCCGCTGAAGAGTGCAGAAGGGGGAGAGGGAGATGACAAAGACAAGAAGAAATCCAACATGCACAAGAAAGAAAAATCTGTTCTTCAGGGAAAGCTGACCAAGCTGGCCGTCCAGATAGGCAAAGCAGGTACGACTGGGTAACTGACTGAATGGTACGGTGTTATACTAGCAACAAAGGGGTTGAGAGTAACTTATTCTTAAAAGGGGTAGGCCTTTTTTACTGCAATATTTAGAAACAGGTCATCATAATACTGTTCTAAGGGTAGTATGGGGTGCTGAAGATCTTTTATTCTTCTAAAACTTAGCTTTGACTGTCAAGAAACTGGAAGCTTTGGGCAACTTGGATTGTAATGAATATTTGAATCAAAATGAAATGTAGCTTTTCTCATAGTCAATATTCCCTAGTGCAGTAATTACATATTTAATTTCCTCTCCCCTTAGAACTTCTGAGTACACAGTTTCAGAATCTCTAATACCATCTCAAAATACCACTCGCACAGCATTTCCCTCTTACGGATTCTGAAATCATTCTGTTCTCTCCTAATATCCCCGTTCCTGCCTCTACCCAAACATGACACGTGTCGACTCTTGTACCCAGTACCATCTGGTCCCTACTATCAGAAATAGCACTTCTTCACCAACATGTAGGTAGGAAGTGAAAATCTTTCATAATGACATGATGTTCATTAGGTTAATTTTTCTAGTGGTATTAAAGAGATCTTGATCTCTATCCAGATCCTTGGCTGAGGCCTTACAACAGCTTCCTAACTTTACCTCTGTTCAATCTCCTTTCTCCTCCTTTACCAATCTGATTTGTACCCCTGCTATTTCTTCTCATTCCCTTTCAAGTTCATTACACTTCATTGGTCGCATAAACCCCTGATGCCACTTCTGTCTCTTTGCCTGAACAGTGCATGACTCGGAATCTATGCTTATCATCTCTTTAACAACTAATGTTCATGCTTTCCCCAGTTTCATACTCCTCAAGCTTCTCCGCTTTGTTGCTAGTCGTACAACGGTATGCATTGATATAAAAAAGCTTCATGCCTCACAAGCGTGAGTTTTGCAGATTAAGTACCTTTCTACATTGCCTTCTGATTATTGCGCGCTCTGGTACTTCGACAGACATGTGACTATCACTTTTAAAGTAACTGTATAGGGATTTCTAACCACCATGTGGCACATAATATGAATGAAATTATTTAATCATTGCCTCATTTGTTTTTTCTTTGTCATTGGGCAGTCTATAGGGATGTCTTGCATTGTCATGAGTATTTGCCCGTACAATAGTTTAACGGATTTTCCTTTATCCTCTGGCATTTGGCAATCTCCCTGACTCATCTGTTTTCTGTCAAACTTAGGATCCTTCAGCTTAGCTTTTTTAACTTCAGTCAAGACATGAAATTCACAGCATTCTCCTTCTACTGTATGATCTCATTAGGGAGAAATTAATTTATTCTGAAATGCAGGCTTAACTGCTTCATAGAAACCTGCCAAAGAGCAGTAATCATAGCAAGGCAAACTAGATGTTCTGTTGGAGTTTTTATTTGTATACTCAAATCCAGGAACAAAACTGTGGAGGAGGAGTGCTATCTTAGCAAAGTCTGCAGCATTGGGAGAGCGTACTAAGTCCCTGGGATCTTTTGTGAATTCGGCGAAATATTTATTAGTGTCTCTCGTGCTATACTGTCAGTGTTGTACCTCTTTTGAGCCTCTCCTCATAAAAATAGGCTCTGTTTGTGCAGGTCCCTTTGAAAAGGGAAACCTTTGAAACACTAGTATTTATCCCATTTTCAAGAAAAAACTGTTCTGTGGACGATTTTACAGTATTGTCTCATTGTATTCAGCCAGACACATCCGTAGGGCTTTTCTGCAATATTTTATACAGCAACATAAACTACAGGAGACTCCTTTTCTCAAGCCTCTTAAGATAAGCTTATTTAAAAGAAAAATGAGTGTTTGAATATGGGTAGACTAGTAATTTGTAAAAAGTGGAGGTTAAAAGGACAGATAAATATTGTACCAGGCAAAGTAATGTACTAAACTGAAAAAAATTAGCTTAAGCAACAGCAGAACTCCTGTTGAACGAGACTGACTGAGAGGTTTTAAATGCGGCAGTAAGATGGTACTTAAAAATTAATGCAGTATGATTCAGCTCTTCTGTAGAATTCAGTGTTTCCTCATTCACTGGAATGTATGGCTGTTGTAAATGTATTATAGTAATTTTTTTCTACATTGTAAAGTTTATCATTGTCATCATTATTCATATTGGTGACAAATGTCATGTAGAATAGAAAATAATTTCATATCAAATTCAAATGCAGATTTCTAATTGCACATGGTTTTAATTGTGTTCTGGTTTATAGTAATTGACTATTTCTGTTTTCAGGTTTGGTGATGTCTGCCATCACCGTAATAATTTTGGTACTGTATTTTGCCATTGACACGTTTGTGGTCAACAAGAAACAGTGGTTGCCTGAGTGCACTCCTGTCTACGTTCAGTATTTTGTTAAATTCTTCATTATTGGTGTTACTGTACTTGTGGTTGCTGTTCCTGAGGGACTTCCACTGGCTGTCACTATTTCTCTGGCTTACTCTGTCAAGGTAAGAAACACTAAAAATAATTATGGGAGAAAAATGCTGTTCAGTGGAGTTTACTAGTGAGTTAGTCTTCGGGTTTTATCCGCTGTGGGGAAAACTGGCCTGTAACTTAACGTGCTGAAAATATTAATGAGTGAAATTTCTTTAAAGCGAGCCTTTGTTTGATATTGAAAGTATTTCTGACAAAAATGCAAATCCATATGTATTCTAATACATATCTTTAAAACTACACAGTGCAGGAATATCAAACATTACAAATACCTACTTAGTTTGCAACGTTACCAGGAATTTATTGAGCAGAATTTACTATGAGAATAGTCCAGTCTTTTGATGGAGAATAACTTTGTGTTCTAATTTTCTTGTGCAATAGTCCAAAGTTTTGACAAGGATTTGAAGTCTTCAGGAACACTTTCCAAAGAAATTAGTTTCACTGGAGCTTCCATGTACTTTTCTTAAATGCAGCTGCAGTTCTTTGTAGCCAATGTAAATGATTCTATTAGGAAATTAAAGAGGATTAAAATCCGGGACTTGTGGATTACTCCATTATCTACCTAGGAGTTTTCTGAGGTTGTTTTAGCAATTTAGTCAGATGGGCCTTATTTAAACATACTGGGAATCTTAGATGAAGATTTTGTAAAGTTTATTGCCATTTAGTATGTAAACAAATTAACATATGAACATTAGGAAGGAATAGCTTGATTTATATGTAGCCAAACATCATCATCATTTGAGAAAAAAGAGGTCATCTCAAGCATGGGATTTTGTTAATAAAGACTGTAGCTGCTTTCCAAATATCTTCCCCTTCTCCTCCTGTCCTCCACCCGACACATGCAGCACATACGTGTGTATCAAACTGCAATCCAGTGTTGTGCGCAACGGTGATGCGCACCCTGACAGTGAGGGTCAGGTGATTGGGCACAGATTTTTTTTAATATGGAAAACATATAAGCAAGAATAACATGTGTTTCCAGGATGACTGTGCATCTTGTGGAAAATATGCACTGTGGAATGGAGTACTCCACAGCGGTGGTTTTTTTGTGGATGTGGCGGGGGGCAGGGGGGTGATGTGGGATGGATAGTCCCTCTGTGTGCTGCAAGTTAACATCCTGGCATTGGAAGTAGTACTAAAAATAAGTCTGATATTTGCTGTAATGATACTGTTTAAAAAATCCTGTTATCTTCAGTTTCTTAGCTAATCTTTGCTGTTCTAGCTATTCCTTAAAATGTATATATACACTGCAAAAAATGATGGAACTATGTCGGTTTATCAAAGGCGAAATTATTTCAGGGATAGTCACTGCTTGGCTGTCTGTAACTTGGGCTTGGGTTATTGGCCCTGATCAAAGTTCTTGTTTAGTGAGCATTATGTTCTCATGAGCAAGCCTAAATGCGTGCTTTTTGCTTTTTATAGCTGATGTTCAAAATCTATCAAAGCAAATCTTGAAGGTTTTTTATTTTGCTTTTTCTCAGAAAATGATGAAGGACAACAATCTGGTCCGCCACTTAGATGCTTGTGAAACTATGGGTAATGCTACAGCCATCTGCTCCGACAAAACAGGGACGCTAACCACCAACCGGATGACAGTCGTCCAAGCCTACGTTGGTGATGTCCACTACAAAGAGATCCCGGACCCAGATTCTGTACCTGCCAAAACTCTTGATTTGCTGGTTAATGCAATTGCTATCAACAGTGCTTATACTACAAAAATTCTGGTAAGTAGGCTTTTTCTGTCAATAAAATGCAACATAGTGGGAGGAGTTGTAATTTTTTTTTTAAGCATCGTTAATTCCTTAACGTCCTGTTGTTAATTATGAAGCATTAAGTACTGCTGAGGTCCTCAAAATGAGAACAGGCGCTGTAAAACCCATATCTGCTGCTGTTAGCTTGGGATGGCCCAGTTTCGGTGCAGGTAAAATTGCTAATGCACACGTGAAGTCGCAGTGAAAACTGGCTGTAAAATTAGTTTGGTGTGTCTAAGGATTTTCAATTAATTCTCAAATAGGACAAATTGGATTGGTTAAATCAGTGAGGTTAATGATCTTCATTTGTTCTAGTTTCAAGTGAATTACATCCAGAAGTATTTTATTCAGTCTGTAAAGAAAGGCAAAATGGAAATATCATGTTTGCTTGTCGCATTAGATTCTTCTGTACAGAGCTAATTAAGAGACCAAAAACTTTTGCAGTTCCAATAGATTTGTTCTTTGAAAGGTCAAGCTTAATCTTAATATTGCAGAACAAATACATTTTTTTAGTTTATGAATTTATGTATTGTCCTTTTTATAGCTCTGTGCTGAGCTGTATAATAATCTTGCACGCACTTCATGTTTGTTTTATTAGTCTTTTAAAATACAATCACAGAAAACAATTGGTTTGTCAACTACTGCTGAGTGCTGGAGCACACATTTCCTTTAATTCTTGCTATGTAAGTATCTGGATATTAGTAATAATCAACACTTGGAAGCAGAGCGGTTAGAGAAACTTGATGCAGATATGCAAAGTGTGTTTGTGGTGAAGGTGGTTTTGAAACCAATGCTCCTGAGGATCCAGGGTTAGTGTCTGACGCCAAGCCACAGCTTATGCACCCTTCAGACAGTCATCTGTGCTGTGATGCACTCACTCTGCTGTTCTCGCTGAAAGCTCTCTGGAAAGGGAAGCGTGGGGAGAACCAGCCCCTGAGGCAGCCTGAGCCGCTTCCTACGTCAAGAGTGGCCAGGGGGTCAGGCAAAGCCTCCCTCCGTCAGCTCAGAAAGACACTGTTAGTTGCCACCTTCCAGCTGAAAGCAGCCAGCACGGTACAGACACGTGGCTCTAGCTGGCTGAGGCTGGAGCTAGCCCTTCTGACTTTGGAGTCAGATACTCGGGCAAAGCAGAGCTCACTCTGCGACGCACCAGTTTCAGCTGTGAACATCCAAGTTCCCAACTGAATGCTGGATCTTATTCTATGATTTTCCTATGGTCTGTCCAGGTCAAAATCAACCAGGTTAGGTGAAATGAAGGATGCGCCTTCCATTCTCAGGTGGTTCAGTGTAAATGCTGTGTAATAGCTCAGTGTGGGTATTTTATGGCAGTGGCTTTTTGGAATCTAATTTGCGTATTTGTAAATTAACAAGAATACTATTGCTGAGTAAATCATGCTTTCGCAAATCAGTATGACATTTGATTGTTGGGGAGAGGAACATACATCTTAGTTATCTGAATATTGTTACAGCCTAAGAAAGGTTACGTACTTCTATAGAAAAAGAAATAGAATCAAACTCATCCTCAACACACAGCCTGGGATTAAGACAAGGCAATACAGACAGATTGAGGTGAAGGATAATAGGTAGCTATTTCAATTTGCGTTTGTATAACTGCTACAGTGGTAATGCATCAGTCCTAGCCGATGGCTTTGGGAGAATGTTACCAATGTTGGCAGAATTTTCCTCATTCCTAAGAAACAACAAGGCAGAGGGCAGGCAGATTGGCTGGTAATTAAGTCCGGTGTAACTGGCAGAGCAAGACTCAATGTCAGCTCTGCTTCATTTGGTTTATATTTTGCTGTTCATTTTGAATGCTTGAGATCAAGCACCATAACAAAGTGTTTCTGTTCACCTTCCATACCAGTTCATCCTCTCTGAATCTCAGAATAGTTTTAGGTTGCTAAGACATGGGAAGGCATCTGTAATGTTAAGTTTAATGTTTATCTTTCTCTTGTTGTAATAGTTTCATTTGATTGAAAGATTTCAGGTCAATAATAGTTTTAAAATTTCACTTTGGTCTCAATATAATTCTGATTTTTTTTTTTTTTTTTACTCTGGCTTGACTTTCATTGGTTCTTATTGAAATTAGTTATGTGTGCCTATTAAAAAGAATAAATATATCACCATTTCAGTTCTTTTTTAGCTTTGCACAGAGACTGAGTCTCTGTAAAATTGATAAATGGGTGAAATCCTCTGGAAATCACCTTTGTTCTGGATGCATATCAGACAACTAATTTAACTTATCTGTGTAAAATTAATAGTGATTTTTTAGCTATTATAACGGCATCATAAGATCAAGTCTTGCAGTATGGACCCCACAAGAATAACTCCAATGTCAGAGGAGTTAATTTCATTCATTGTTTATAACAAGCTTAAGCTAAAGTTGAAGATACAAGGCATTGTCCCATAGCCCTCATTCATTCAAAGTCATAAACAAATACCCTAAAAAATACGTAAGGCAGTTGTTTCCAGGATGAAGTGTATAGAATTATTTTTCTAGCTGCTAATAATGAATGCATACTTCTGCACTCATGCTTAAAGCCTATTTAATCAAATTGTGAATATCAGCTCAAACCCAAAGGGCACATAAGTGTTATGTTGCTAAGATTGAATTTTACGTATTCTATTTTTAGTTATCTAGTTATGCATATGCTGCAAATTGCGCTTTGGATGAACTTCTGTTCAGCGTGATCACATATGGGACCATAAAATTAGTCAAGATGCTCTGCTGAATGAGAAATATTCCCTCTTGCATTGTCTTTTGATTAAGGGGCAATTGAACTGTTGATAAAAATAAAAAAAGAAAATAATATCACTGCTTGGGATAAAAGATTTGAATTTCCCTGAGAAATTAAACACAAATTATTCTAGCTGAACAATAGTATCATTAAATATAGTTCTTTTTAATGCTTCCCAAGGATTAAGTAACTGGGTGAGCTGATTTTGCATTCCATTAGCTTCAGAGCAACTTTAATGCTGCTTTTATGCTGTTAATGTGAAGCTGTTCTTCAGAAAACCTTTCGTTCCCAGTATTCATGTTTTAGATAGCTTTCCCACATGGAAGTAAAAATTAGACTTCATACATTTTTTCATGTGAGCCGTGATGAGGACTGTAAAGCATCTCTTACTCCGAAACCAAAATTTGCATTTTGGGAATACTTGGATTGCACCCGGAGCAGAAGTACATTGATCTTGAATATCACGGAGCAATAATGAAAAGGAGACTCCAAATACAAAACTAGTGATTTGAACTCTTCTATTGGGCTCTTGCTTGCATAAATTCAGTTTTAATTAGAAAAGTATTTCTTCTTCTTCTAATTGCCTGAAAACTGTCAGAGGGCATAGATGACATGCTTTCTGGATGGGTATAATGTGCTCTTGTTAAGAAGGGATCACAATTAGTATTTAGTTGAGTGATTTTCAGCACCAGTGGAAAAGACCCAGCTGAACCCATTATTGTTAGGATCTAACACAGGCTTTTCATTTGGTACTTGATAGGTGCCTAGGGAGCAAAAAAGCTACTTATGCCGATGTTAGGTGAATATCTGGATCTGCATCGGAGGACTGCTTTCAGTTCTGATGATCTGGAGTATCATTTACTGCATTTGCACAGTATGTGGCACAGTGTAGCGGCATCCTTTAACTGAGTATCTCAACAGAAAAAAAGACAGAGATGTCACAGAAAAGTGCAAAACATTCACTCCCCTCTACAGCTTCTGCCAACTTAGGAAATGAAGTAAAGATATGTTAGTCTATATGTTAGTTAATATTAGTCAAGTAACGGATGTGACCACCTCTACCAGATAAAACCAAAAGGAGCAAATGAAGCAAAAAAAAAAAGAAAAAAAAAAAAGAATGTAGACAACTTTATTTCAGCCAGAACAGAGACAGCAATGTTTCCTGTTTATCATATGGCAGAAGCACAGCTGCATATGACACTATAACATCTGTCTATGAAAATAGTGAAGTTGCCAAGGTTGGTGCCAGCACCCAAATTCCAACCGCAGCCCTAGATGAGGGTCTGCGCTGTGTGTGCAGACAGACCTGCAGGGATGGCTGAGGCCCCACATAACCCCAGCAGGGAGGAACAGGGATTCCCCACCAGCTTCCCTGACCGGAGATTTTTCTGGGAGAATGATGCTGAAGACGCGGGCTGGCTGCAGGGGTACATGCCACACAGTGGTAGGACGGAGCTGCAACATAGACTCAGCTGTTAAGATTTACTAGGACAGAAAGGAAGGTGTTAATTCACCTTCTTGCTTTGTGTAATTACTTTTTCCTGAAGGTATAATGGAAGATCTTACTAAAATAAGTGGAACAAAATTTCTAACTTTATACTGAAAGGAGTTCAAGAGATTTTGGCACAGAATTCTATTGTTATGAATAAATAGTTCTTTTGACTGATTGTCTGATCCAGAATACTGGAATGAATGCTCTTCATACTTTCTTGGAGGAAAGGGATGGAGAGGCTGGCAGAGCACGTAGGTAACCTATAATATATGAGAACCCTAAGAAGAAATTACATTCTCAAAAGTGAAATGGTAGAAGTAAATGGAAAATAAGATTTTTAGCACAATAGCTGCTTTGCAAGTATAGATTGAAATCTACAGTGGGTATTGAGAACATGGATGTAGTAGCCAGGTGAAGGGTTCTTTTTATTTGCAAGGAATATATTTGTATCCAAAAGAAGTACAGCTATCTGGGTTGTTGGGAGACGCAATGTTCCTGTCAGAAATGTTCTTTACAAAGGTGTGCAAAGTACAAAATATACTTCTTTCTTCCAGATTTTTTTTAAAAAATCAAATCCGAAGACTGGATTTCATTTATCAAATACTTGAATTCATCTTGTCTCTTTTTTAATTGAATGAAAAAGTTGTCTCAGTAATAATACACACATACACACACACATATTCTTTAGCCAACAGAAATTTACTGTCATTTGATTTTACCTTTCATAATTTCACAACTTTCAA